CACGGGGCCGGCCGGCCACCCAAGGCAGGACATTGTGCAGGTGTGAAAGGGGTCCCTTGGGCTGTCCTTGAGGGTAGGCATGGCGGGGGCGGCTAAGGAGACACTTTGTGCAGCGGAGGGATGAGGCCGGGCAGCAGCCTCCTGCCCAGGGTGGTGCGGCCCCTGCTGAGCTCAGAGCAGGCCAGGGCCTGGGCTCGCTGGGGACATGTTCAGGTTTCTCTGGAGTCCTCAGCTGCCACTTCCCAGGCCTCTTGGGCGGGGTGGGGTGGCGGGGTGGTGGAGCGGGTGGCTCCACCAGGACTCAGCTCCTGCTCTGAAGCTGCGTGGCTCCCTGGAAGCACGCAGTGTCCCCAGGGCCTTGGCTGGGGGTGGGGTGCCGAGGTCCCCCGACCTCTGTGCCTGTCCTGCTGACCGCCGGCCACGTCTGTGTACCGGCAGAGGGGGAGGGTCGGGCTCCAGCGGGGACTCTCTGGGTCAGAGGAGTGCCACCCGCTGTGTGCGTGTGGGAAGGTCACCCTGAGCACCGCGCCACGTCCCAGCCTGGGCCAGAGCTCCCTCTGCGTGTCCTCCCCAGGCACCCCCTCCCTTCCCGCTGTGACTTGAGGAAGCCAGGAGGGTCTGTTCCAACCCTGTGGCCCCCCCAGACATTCCAGGGGTGTCCTCAGGAGTTGCTGGGGGAAACAGCGGGAGACGGGGTTCTAGAACAGGTGTCTGGGGCTGGTCGGGGCAGGAGGACGGTCCTCGCTCCAGGGACCCAGGTCACTATGGAGTCCACCGAGCCCACGCCCCAGCCGGAGTGCGCTTTGTTCCCTGAGAGCCCGACCGCCCGCCCTCTGTCCTTTTAGAGGGGGCCGCAGGGGCCGGGCTGCCCACAGAAGCCTGCTCCGCCCAGCACCTCGGGTAAGTGGGGGGAGGAGGAGCTGGAAGGGCAGGACCGAGGGGCTGGGAGCTTGGTCGGGGCCCCGCGCCCTGCGTTCTCCTGCCCTCATGTCCTCAGAGCCGCCTCTGTTCTGACGGTTACCACTAACCCCGCACGACTACTTCATTTTAAGTGAAAGTGAAATAAAATCTGTAACTGCGTTCCCAGGCCCATGGGTCCTCTTTCAGGTGCTCAGTAGCCACGTGGGGTTAGTGGCAGCCGCACAGGACAGCGCAGGCCTGGAGCACGTCCATCACCACGGAAAGCTCTGTGGGGCAGCCCCTCGAGGCTGAGGCTGTTGCTCCATTTTACAGATGAAGGGGCTGAGGCTCAGAGGGTGGAAATGACTCGCTGGTCATGCAGCCAGTGAGGGTCAGAGGGTGCCACGGGTCAGAGGGCGCCACAGAGTGTGGACGCGGTGTGTGCGTACATGTGTGTCCAGCTGCCCGGCTGCTGCTCTGGATAATGGGGACCGAGACCCCACTGTCCCACGTGCTCTGGGACCTCTGGCTGCTCCGGGAGCCCTCCTGTGCCCCGGGGCCCAGTGGGAAGCGATGCTGTATTGAAAAGGCAAAGCTGGGGTCACCATTCAGTTCGGGGCCTCCGGAACCTGCGCCTTCGAGACCAGGTCCCTTCGGGGAGCCCTGGGGGACTTCACAGAGCTCTGGAGCCCTCGATTCAAAGGGTGGACACAACCCACACATGTCCATCAACGTGGCCTCTCCACCACCGAAAGGGACTCAGCACGGCCGCCGGCCGCAATGCGGACGAGCCTTCAAACCACGCTCTGCTGAGGGAGACGCAGACGCCGGCCGTCACGTAGGGTGCGATCCCGTTTACAGGAAACGTCCCGAACGGACAGACCCTCAGAGACCGAGAGCAGGCTGGCGGTCATCGGAGGGGAGGCCAAGGGGGTGGCTGCCCACGGGGACTGGTCTCCACCGGAGTGACGGGAACGTTCTGGAACCAGAGGGTGGTGGCGCAGCTTCGCGGATGCGCCGGGTGCCGCGGCCCTGCTCACCTTCGGGTGGTGGAGGCGGGGACTCTGCGTTCCCACGCTCGGCGAGAGAGGGGGCAATACGCACGCTGGTGGTGGAGCGTTTTCTCAGCGACAGTTCGCGGGGAGAGGGAGGGTAGGGCCGTGGCTTCCGCGTTTCTGAGGCCGGGCGTCCGCCAGGGCCTGCACTGCCACTGTGCCGGCTGCAGGCTCTCCGAGGCCTGTGTCCTGCTGCGCCCGTCCCCCGAAGGATGGGCCCCAGCCCCGTCCCTTCCTGTCCCCAGCTGTTTCAGTCTCCCTGTGCCTGGGAGCGCAGGCTGGGAGGCAGTGGGTTTATCCCCGATGAGTGACGAGGCTGCAGACACAGGACCCGCTGGCCTCTGCCACATGGTCTCCAAGGGGAGAAACCGAGGCCCCAACCCAGGCCAGCTGGCTCTCTCCCCAGCCCCATTTCTGCTGCTTGGAGTGTGAGCTGGACCCGGTGGCCAAGACAGTCCTGCAGCTGGGGTGGTGGCCAGTGGCAGCGGCAGGCAGATGGGACTGCCAGGGCCACGGCTGGGCAGCACCTGGGAGAGCTGTCCACCTGGGGAGCTCCATGTGGCCAGGAAAGCTCCCGCGGTGCTCCTCCCCTTCCTGCACAGGTGGCTCTAAGCGTCTGGGCCGTCATGTAGGTGGGTACCCCTTATTCCCGCGGTGGCAAATGTGGCTAAACCTCGTGGGGAACTGCGACTCAAGGTCCGGCCACTCTGATTTGCAGAAGTGGGGAGGCAGGTGGAGGTCCAGGGACACCTGGGCCCTGGCCTTCCCAGGCCATCATGGTGAGGGGCCCTTGGGAGCAGGATGGAATCGGGAGCCAGGCACAAAACCCTGAGATGGTGTCCCCACTCCCAGGGCAGGGAGCCGCTCTTGACCCTGGAGCATCTGGCCGGCCCCCTCCCAACCTGGCCCCGTGGCCCAGAGGCCTGGTTTGGGGGAGGCAGCGCGGGGAAGTGGGTGAGGATGGCGCTTCTGCTGCCTCCCCTCTGGCACACGGATCTGCCGCGCTTTGGGCTGTTCCAGCGGCTCCCCCTCTCCATGGCAACTCCGCTCAGTGGTCCCGGCGGAGGAGAGAGAATCGATTCTCCCTCTTCCCTCCCTCCCTCTCCCCACCCCACCCTCTGGGCCTCCCTCCCTCCTTCATCCCTGCCTGGCTCACGGCTCCTCTATCCCGAAGGTCCCTCAGTTCGTCCGTCTGTCCATCCTGTCCGTCCAGGGGGCTTCCATGCCCCAGGCGCGCGCCCTCCCAGGCATGGGCTGCCGCTGGAGCTGGGTGCCGGGGGCGGCGCCCTGAGCCCGTGGGCATGGACCAGGAGGAGCTCTGGGGACCTGGGGGGCGGCACAGCCCCTGCGACGTGGGGCTTCCAACAGCTCCGACACTTTGTCCCCACGCAGCCCCCCCTTACGTTTTCTTCCTGAAAGGTAATTTTCTGCGAAAACTGTCACAGCCTAAGGACGGGTTATCAGGCAGGAAGCCTCTGTCCTGGTCATGTGGGCTGCTGGCTTCCTCTGAGGAGCGGGGCTGGAGGGAGAGGCGGGGGGAAGCCGGGTTGGGGGGCCGAGGGTCTCCTCCCGGGCGGCGGCCGTGCTTGGGCGGCCGCTCTCAGAGCCTTTCCATCTCCTGTGTAGTTGCTGCTCAGCAGGTCAGTGTGCCTTCCTGGACCACAGGTGCAGGGGAGCATTTAGAGGCCCAGGTGGGCCGGGCCCGGGGGGCAGGGGCACGGGGCTCCCTGTCTGACCCTTCCTCGCAGACAGTGGGGTTCAGCGGGGGGCTGTTTTGTCCCGTAACCGAGAATTTCTGAGAAAACTGGCTGGTTCTGGGCGGAGCAGCCCTGCTAGCGGGGTCCACCCCGCAGCACCGCCATCTGTTGGGGACAGTCCCTCAGCAGAGTTTGGTTCCAGTGGGGCTGAGACACAGCTGCCCAGTGGGTCAGCGTTTTCCACGGCCTCTCCCCCGTCTCCAGACGTCCTCCAGGGCAGCTTTCCTGGAGGGACTCGATGGGGTTCACGGTGGCGCCTGCCCCAGGGCCCAGGGCCAGCCCCCCTGGCGGGGAGCCCCTCCCGTCACCTCTGCTTCTGGGCTGCGAGGAAGGACAAAAGTGCCCCTCGTTGTCAACAGGACACCCCCCAGGTACAGGTGGAGAGGGAGGCCCGAAGGGAACAGATTTAGCCTCCAGTTCTTAGAAGCCACGGGTTTGAGTGGCATATGTGAGAGGAAGCCCTGTGTGGTCTTGAGACAGAAAGAACACCAAGTGGCCCGTGTGACTCACAGGGAAGTTCAGAGTCTGGCAGGTATTGGGGAGGCCGCTCTCCACTCTGAACAGGGGCCCCAACTTGGTGGCGGGGCAAACGGGTCGGGTGGCCAGGACGGCTCGACATTCAGGTGAGTGTCTCAAAGTCAGGCTCGGGGGCGGCCGATTGGATTTTCTGTCTCGTTGCCTGTCACCTCTGACAGATGGCTTTAATAACAGAAGCAGCTTGCGAGGGGGCCCCCGGGCAGGGCTCACCCTCTGGCTCCGGGGCTGTGCCTTTTAAACCCTGTCTGCTCGGATCCCAAAGCCCTGAGCCCCGGCCCCCGGGTCCTTGGTGCTTCCCTGTGATAATCACATCAGCTCCTGTTGGGCAGGATGGGGAGCGCGCTGGTGTGTCTGCAGGCGGCTGTGCTGTGTCTTGTTTTTCCTCGGCTGGGAGCCTGGCGTCTGTCACCGAGACCCTCCTGGCATCTGGGCGATGCGCAGGCTTCTTAATGGCATTAGGCGCGTCTGGAGTCCGGTCGGCTTGCCGTAAATTCTGATGGGTTTCCTCGTTGAGCGACGGGTTGGGGGGTGGGGGCGGCGTGCTGGTTTTTGTTTGGTTTGCTTTTGGTTGGCTGGCGAGCGGAAAATGTGATGTGACATGTGAAAGGTCCCAGAGAGTGGCTGCGCTCCGTGCTCCTCGGAGCCTGGGCCTCCGCAGGAGGGGCTTCTCCGCCCGGGGTCTTTCACGTGCAGCCGGGGTGGGGTCGCTTCGGGGGCACCCGTGTGCATGCAGCCAGCAAAGCTGAAGTCAGGGGGGTGGGGGGAGGCAGAGCAAGGCTGGCCTTGGAGGAGGAGACAGGCACGGCCACCAACCTTCCCGCTTGCATCCCAAGTGACTCCGTGCGGCCCCTCCCTCCCGTGTCCTCTGGCACAAGCAGCCGGCACTTTCTGAGTGTGATTTCCCATCGAGGCGTAAAAGCCTCGCCGCCAGCTGCAGAGGGTGTGAGAGCAGGTCGGAGGTGGGGGCCCGGCCGCTGATGGCTCTGGCGGCCGGGGAAAGTGTGGGAAGCTCATTCCAGGAACAGCGGAGTGATCACCGGTTGGCCGGCGTTCAGGCGGTGAGTGGTTCTGTCTTCTTTAATTCGAAGGGAGCTCTGGGAGCCAGGGAAGGGGGCCGGGGCAGCCTGGCGGTTCAGACAGACCTGGAGAAGTTCAGGAAGCTCCGAGGGGGAAGTGACTCTTCCTCCCCCTGCGTGCTGGCTGGCAGTGTGCGGGCACCCCCTCCCCCGCCCCAGGCTATGGCCGAGTGGGACAGGCAGGGATTCTAGGGCTGGGGCCCCCCCCAGGGAGGGCCCAGGCTGTGGCCCAGCCTAGCCCCATGCCCGGCTTGCAGTACTTCAGCTGGTGGTGCTGCTTCCTGTTCAGTTACCTGAGTGGCTTAGGAACGTCATACTCTCCCCAGTCTGCTCTGTAAGGTCCCTGAACACGCACATGCATGCACGCCCACACGTGTGCACACTCACACTCTACATGCACACACACACAATCCCCCTCCTGCCCTCAGGGCTGCCCGGACCAGTTGGCTTTCTGCTGTGAGCAGTTCTCAGTGTCCATACGGTGGCATGTCTGTCCTTTCTGGGCCCCGGTTCTTGGCTCCGTGTCTCACCTTCGCCAGGCAGGCCGGTTCCGTCCGCCTCTGGAGGGAGCCGCCTTGCTCTCTCACGGTTCCTCTTCTCCAGGCCCCTCCCCCAGCCCGGGCTCTGCCGCGTTGTTGGGTGAGTTACAGAGGTCGGCGCGGTGGTGTCTGCAGGGGAAGGCCCGGGGGGCAGCGTTCACCCCATGCCTCCGAGGGTGGTCTCAGGTCGAAAGGCAGGGTGCTGTCGGCGAGGGACTTGAACTTGAAGTGAGCTGAGTTCCAAGGCCGTGTGTGTGTGTGTGTGTGTGTGTGTGCGCGTCCTCCCCACATTGTTCGTATTTGGCCTCTTTAGCTTTGCTTCCCACTTCTCCCCATTTTGGGGTTTATTTCCCAAAGCAAAGATCTGCACACTCTGACCCAGGGTCCCAACAGCTCCTCATAGGCACCTTCCCAGAGGTCACCGAATTCGAGTTTGCTCGCACCCTGGAAGTGCTTACTCTCGTCACACCTGGTGGGCGAGCCGAGTGTCTGGGAGGTGGAGCAGCTGCCCTGGGAAGACAGAGCCAGGATGCAGACCTCCGACTCACTCACTCATTCATTCATTCATTCATTCATTCCCCTGTGCGATGTGGGCCCTGCTTCGGGCCCAGGGCGGAGTCCCTCCGTCCGTCCCGGCTGTCTGAGGAGAGAAAAGGGAACGAGGAGAGAGCAGGCCCGGGGGGAGGCGGCAGCCCTGGAGGATGGGCCAGCCCCTCTGTCCCCACCCCGCCCCCCACTCCCACCAGGAGTGTGGCAGTCAGCAGCTGCTTCGTAGAATCCCCGTCGCCCAGCCCGATCCACCGGCTCTCCTGCCTCCGGGGCAGCCCAGCTCTCGCTTCCCTTCAGTTTGTTAACAACACCGTCCTGTCCTGTGGTGAGGGAGACGGTCCGCAGCACGGGGGCTGTGTGTTTAATGCCGAGGACTCGGCGTCCGTGTCTCGGTGCAGGGGGAGGGCTGGGGGGGCCGTACCTCAGTTTTCTTGTCTGTAACCTGCAGAGCCCACCACCTCCTTCACGCACCTCAGCGCGAAGGAAGCAGGTGTGAGGGCGCTTGGCAGTGACTTCACGAGCGTCATCAGGGGGCAACAACAGGACTGTCACCACCATGCAGGTTGCGTCCCGGTGCCCGTCTCTGCTGGCTCCGAGGAGACGGCTTTCCGGGCGATGGTACGAGCTGCTCCCAACTGACGGTGGGGCCTCATCCCCCAGACCAGTCCTCACGGTGCACCCCCCACACCCGGCCCGCTGACCCGCGCTGAGAGCACTGACCCCGGCGGACGGGTGGGCAGAGGCATCTCCGCAAAGCCCATTTTCTAACACCCGGCCTCACGAGAGAGCCGGGGAACGATCAGAATTCAATCTTGGCAGCGCAGTTCCCCCTGCATGCACGCTGGGTGCAAACCCCGCCAGTCGAACCCCACGAGTTGGGGTTCGTGTGCATTAAGCACCTGTGGCTGCGCAGGAAGAGGGAGGGCGGACCGACGGAAAAGCTGGTGATTAGCTGGCGATTACGCGGTGGTCCTGGGGGGAGGGCGTGTGAGAGTGAGAGCCCTTTCGGTTGTTTTGCCGTTTTTCGGTTAGTTGGAGATTACGTGAAAGGAAAACAGACTTAAGCATTGGAGGGGCTTTCCCCAGAGGAGATGGAAGGAGACCCAGCGGAGGAGGGCCCACGCCTTCAGGAGCCCACGAGGAGCCTGCGGACGGGTGGACAAGCACAGTGGCCGGCAGCCCTGGAGGGGGAGGGGGCCCCGTGGCGGGACGGACCTGCTAGGCCGTGGGTCAGACTCTGTCAAAGATGGGGCTCCCTGGGTGGACACGAGGGCCTGTGGTCAAGTTCCTTCCCCGATCCTTCCCTGGGCTCGGCGGCGGGTCACCAGGCTGGGTCTCCTCTTCCAGAGAACAGAGCCAGAGGCCCCCTCAGGCCTGGAGAAAGTTGGCCTCTCGACAGGGCCCACGTTTTGTTTAGGTCCAACTCACAGGCAGGCGCACAGGCGCCCACCACGCCAGCCCGGCGTCCCGCCCCCGAGCTCAGGGGAGCCTTTCCAGCACGTGGCCGCCCCCCAGTCCGTGAGCGGCGGCTGCGGGGAGGGCTAGACCTGGCCCAGCTCTGGGCTGTGAAGGGAGGCCAGGAGGTGGGTCGTCTCCGCCCGTCACCACCCCCAGGGGCACGCCCGCCATGTCCTCTGCCCGCTGCGCCGTCAGCCAGGTCGTGGGCCCTCTCCGCACCTCAGTTTCCTGGTCTGCACAGCAGGGCCCGGGAGGGGTGCCCCGGGGACGGTGCGTGCAGAGCGCTCTATCGCTCCGGTGCCCTCACTTTGCCCTGCACCCTGCGCCCTTGTGAAGCACTTCACAGCTTCCTAGGTGTGGGCGCAGCCCCATCGCAGCCTGTGACTGTGAACAGGCCTTGACAGGCGCCACGGGAACAGTTAATTTAAGACACCCTGCTGCCTGGTTGGATTGGCCTGCTGGTCCGCTGGCTTCGAGTGGCCCAGGTCCGGTCTGCAGGACTCTGGGCTCTTGGGGTGGCGGGTGGGAGGTGCAGGCTGCTCTGGGGTGGCTGGAGAAGCAAACCTTTGCATCCTGGGGTTCGCACAGAGTCGCCGAACCCCGGAACCCAAGTTTCTTTGTGCAGCACGGGCCATCTTCCTGCTTGGGGCGCTGGGCGGGAGGGCACTGTGAGCCTGTGCCCGGGCCAGCCTGAGGAGGGGCGAGACGGCGGGGTGGTCATTTTAGGTGGCTCTCCCCCCACGCGTGGTTTCAAACGGCTGCTCTGGGCCACAGGGTGTCCCAGGAGCAGGCCCAGGCCGGCTGTACTCTCTCTTCACACTCCCGAATGTTTGGAGCGCCAGAGCTGCGTCTGGGCCAGCGGGACCTTCTGTCTGGAGGCCTGGTCACTAAGCTGCCTGTGGCCTGGGGGACGAAGGCCTGTGCTCCACCAGCCACTCAAGGGCCCGTGGTACAGCGGTGTTGCCGCTGGGAAAACAGGCATTGGGGCGTGTCTCCCTGTCAAGGTGGGTGTGGCCAAGGCACCCGGGAGGGGTCTCCCCCAGCCAGGTAAAGAGAGCAGAGCAGGGGCAGGGTTTATGTGTGACGCCCCAGCTGGCAGCTTCTTTCCCCTCCCCCCGCCCCCCTGGGCCCATTTCTTCAGGGGGGGCCTAGCTGGTGACGTGGCAATGTCCCTGCCCAGCAGCGCTGGCGTGGACACAGCTTCTCAGGCTGGCTCCTGCCCCTCAGTCGACCCAGACTGGGTGGACACCTGCAGGGGCACGTCAGCTCGGCCTTCGGGGGAGTCGCTGCCAACTAGCCCGAGCCGCAGAGCCACTGGGTCCCCCTGAGGTCGTTAGAAGGCCAGGCTCTGTGTGGCCTCGGCCTGCCTGGTGCCCCTTGGAGGAAAGCAGTCCACGGTGTCCAGTTCCGCGCCTCTCTGGACACTTGGCAATCCCTGGGAATTCTCACCTGTGGCGGCCAGAGGAAGGGGCTCCAGCCTCGGCCTGGCATGCGTCACATTCCTCTGAGCTGCCAGTCTGAGCGCCCCAGGAGGGGGCTGCACCCCCTCAGAAATGGTCCGGCTCAAACCTGTCTGCCGGAGCTGGGACGGGGGTGCCCACTCCACGCCCAGAGGCACTGATTGCTCTGGCCTCCTGTCTGCAGGCTGATGGCTCTTGGGGTCTGGGCCCAGGTCCCACCGTGGGCTTGGGACTGGGGCAGAATTCACACCCCAAGAGCGGTGAACTGTGCTGGGGAAGAGGCCGGCAGTGCCCCGGGAACCCGCCTGCCTCCCCGAGGGGCCCTGGTCTGCCCCCTCCCTCGGTCCACAGGGGCTCTCCTGGCTGGGTCTCGCTGCTCAGGACCCTCAACTCACTCCCAGTGTGTCAGTGGAAACACGATGGTCCTGCTAACACCCGGGCTCAGAGCTCACGCTCGGATGAGGCTTGCAGCCTCCACTTCGGGCCAACGGGCTTCCCTGTGGCAGTGCGACATGGTCCGGGCAGGGCCCGAGAGTCCTTGCCCTGCAGAGGCAGGGAGGCCGAGCAGACGGTCCGAGGGCAGACAGCTGCTGCGGGACGGGGCGTGGGCCTCAATCATTCATAACTAGTATTTGCCGGGTGCCGGCCTTTATTGACCACCTGCTCCGGCTGGGCCCCGGGAAGAGGCTGCACGCAGGACGCTCGTAGGCACGCAGCTGGGACTTTGAGGTCTGGGAGAGAACTAGAGAAAATCCGGGGCAGGTGGCCCCTTGGAGCGGGCTGGGCCCACGGCCCGGATGTCCCTGGGAGCAGGGCACCTCGAGCACGGGGGTCTCCATCACTGACCCCAGGCATCCCCACTGACAGGTGCCTAAGACGTAGGTTCCAGTCTTGGCTCCACCATGTGACCTCTTAAGCCCTCAGTCCCCTCTGTCACTTGCACAGAGAGGCTGGACCAGGCCACTCACTCTCCTTC